AAACACTTTCTTGGCCATCGAAAATTGCAGAGGAATCGCCGCTCAGCGGCAATGCTGCCTTGGCTTCGGCGAGAATATGTCTAACCCATGAAGAGGGATTGTCGCTTAGCGACGATGCTGCCTTGGCTCTGGTGAGAATATTTCTAACCCCAAGAAGTAGAAGGGGAAACCTAGAGCAAGGGACAAAGAAAATGTTGAAGCCGGAAGAGTCGCCACATTGGGCGAAGGAGCCAATTTTGGCGAGAAGGGCAGTCGGAAGAATCGCCTCATCGGGCGAAGAAGCCAATTTTGGCAGGAAGGGCGGCGGCAACTTGGTTGGCGAATAGGCCAGTGCGGCACCCAGATTCCGAAGGTAAATCTCTGCAAAAGGTTGATAGGTTTAGGTTACGGTTTATGTGAAGGATGAAGGTTGATTGGGAAAAAAATGAGAGAGACTATATTGGTCAAGGGTAAAACCAATTTGGTTGGAAAAGGTGAGGTTGTATGTACAGAGTATGACGAAAGGTGATTTGGAGGTCAATAGGGTGGAGCCGAAGAGTAATCAATCGGCTCCGACTACGGCAGCCATGAAGACTGCCCCTGCGGCGTCAAAACCAGCAGGGGTGGTGGAGAAGAAGATTAGAGAATTCAAAAGCCATTGAAAAGAAAGAATCGGAGTTGTTAAACCGAGAGGGCTCTGATACCATGTGAATGTTTGATTAATCCACCACACTTAAATGGTGTGAAAGTTATCTTATTTATAATCAAATGAATTACAGGGATATGGAAATAGTAATAAATGGAAATAACAATAAATGGAAAGATACCTATGATAATAAAGCAAATATTAGATATTTGCCTTATAATAAAATATCAAATATAATATATATGGTAAACTATAATTTATTACTAAATATCCTTAACACTCTAGATAATGGAAGATGGCACGGGATCGTGACCCATACCTCTAAAGGAAATTTTGAACTTTAGAGCTCAAGGTAGCAATTGTCTATGCCAAATTAGATACAAGTTGGCCAATCACATCACTCACTTCTCATTGGGAAGCTTCCCATAGGCTGATATAAGGTGTGGGGTTGCCTCCAAATGCCCAAATTGGGAGTTTAAGTGGGTAACATATCTATGTCAAGATAGAGACGTTACTGCATACATGATATAATTAATATACTCAGAGAAATCGTTAAAAAAAAGAAATCAAAACACATTAATATAAGTTGGAATGCAACAATGAATGTTGTGAACTACCTATTAAAAGAAAGCGATGAATACTTCTATCCTAACTTAGCTTTTATGACCATCACAACATAGCCGTCATCCATCCATGTAGAGGTGTTTTACCTTTACCTGAAAAAGAAGAGTAGCACATAGCTTGATATTTAAAAAATATTCAATAAATAATCCTATTATTGGGTTAGGAAATGTATACACAAACAATCATGATGAGATCTATCATTTTATAAACGTCATAGTATGTTCATGGGCTCCTTCTAGTCTAGGTAAAGTTGGATGTGTGTACTTTTCTACACCCAGACCACACACGCACACATAGATCCACCAGGCGAGCTCATATACATATCTCATGTGCCTAGTATCACAATCGCACTCTTGTGGCAGCGGAACAACGATTGTGCGACACTTGTTCTAACCCAACGAACAAGTCAGCCGTTTAAAATTCGAATTTTGCAAACAATATCGCATATTCTCGAGCCTCGGGTCACATTTGAGAGAAATGTTTTAGAAAATATGAACGATGAAATACATTTAAAACAATTTAAAAAAAACTAATGTTATAAGCTGAAAGCAATTAATCAACAACGATGACATTGATAACATAACCCTGGTAGGAAGAATTGACCACTAATTACATCCTCCCTATAATACATTTTGAGGTATATTAGCCATGGCGGGTGTAGAGATGATTTTAGTGACGGGTCATACACCCCCTATGTTACCATTGAGAAGCGAAGACCTAATGCCCACATTACCAACCACCCTTGGAATAGGGGAGGGACTTTGGGCGCTTCGCTAGAAATCTCGTTTTTTTTAAGCTTTGTTGTTTCAAAGTGGCTCGACTCCCTTAACTCGATGTCAACTCCATCAATTAAGATAAGCCCATAAAGACTCCTACATGTATATCATCAGATTATGAACACGAACGGTTAATGAGTTAAATAGACACCATATTACAGATACTTTTAACAAAACAAATTCAGTTCCTTTAATTGCATACTAAATGTTCTTGATTTTGTATGCCTATATAAGTTCGAATAAAGATTTAGATATTAAATATTTGTAATACTGAATTAGGTAAAAATAAGAACATACAAATTAGTTGTTGGCTATGTGATGGAGTCTACATCATAGAATAAATATGTATCAATCTATTGTAACTCTGTCCATTATCAACCTCCAGCATTGATTAAATGCATGTAAAATGACAGGCAGTTCAACGTTATTTTCACTCTTCATTAATTATAGTGGTCAGCCACAGCTCCTTACGAGAGGACACAATAAACAAAAAAAGTCATAATATTGAATGAAAATAGAGTCTACAAGTGACAACGAACGGCGGCGGGTGCGGGTGCGGGTGCGGCGGCCACGGCGGAGGAATGGGTAAGGCCCAAAACATTCATGTTGCAATTCAAACCGGGCCACCGGGGGGAAAACCATGTTAAAGAAAAGTAGGGTTTGCGAAATGGCAGTAAAATGGGAAAACAAAAGTTGTTGCTTTGTTAGAGAACAAGTATATTAAATATGAGATAGCGTTCCCTTACATAATGTGTCTGCAAAAACAGAGGCCAAGGCAACGCCACAAATATCTTCTTCTTCTTCTTCGTCTGCTTTCAGACAAAGACCAGAAAAGAGAGGTAAGAAGATAAGGCGAGGGAGGCTCAGAGGTTGCATGCGACAGCTACTGTTTCTTTTAATTGACTCTGTAATTTGCATCATTTTGCTGCCCCTTCTTTTACTTTCCCTGCTCTGCTCTTTCACTCTTTTAACTCTCCTTGGGTTTCTAAATGTAATCCAAATGAGCCCACCACACTCGGAAAATTGGTCTACTTGGTGTGCCCATGTCAAGCGGCGCCCCAGTTGGCCGGTCTGTCTACACCCCACATTCTGTCAATTCCCCACTACAATAAACCTTAAATCCTAAACCTACAACTAAGGTTTATATCTAAAAATATAATTTTTCGAATTAGAAAAATCCGAGTACATATCGATGTCCGAGGGCGAGAATAGGGAAGCATCCATCCACGTCAAATTTCTCGGTATAGAATATAGATTATCGGCATAATTATTTTTTATTTTTTTAAAAAAAACTCTTTTTAATCATATATATCAATAATAATATTTTATATATATAACATCCCTATTTTTTCTTTTAAAATAAGGTCGTTACTACATACATGTTGTATAATAGTTGTATGTCGAAATATTCTTAAAAAGAATTTACTTTAAACATGCTATAGACTCATGGGTTATCTCTTATCACCCTTTATAAATAAATGTCATTGATTTATCCTAACATATAAACTATAACTTAAATACATAAATTTAACTACACATTAAACATGGTTTATAGTTTATAGTAAATTCTATT